CTCCAACTACAGAAGGATTAGAGAGGAAAGCACTTTGAACCATGTGGCCAACCTGCCCAAGATTTTAATTTAGTATTGGAAAGTTTTAAACTGAGTATGAGGTTGACTTCTTTTTTAATTAAGTTTATTGGGATGACACTGGTTAATAAAATTATGTACATTTCAAGTGTACAATTCAATAAGACATCATCTATATATTGCATTGTGTGTTCACCACCCAAATTCAAATCTCCTTCCATCACCACATATTTAACTCCCTTTACTCTTATCCACTTCCTCCTTTCTCTTTTCCCTTTGGTGGCAATTGCTAAACTTGTCCTTGTCTGTGAGTTTTTGTTTGTATTGTCTGTTTCTTGCTTGAGTCACACCCTTCTCACCACACTAATCTCTGATAATCACTGATCTGCTCTTCATTTTAATTTTGTCACCTCAATAATATTATGTAAATGAAATTATACAATATAAAACTCTTTGAGGTTTTTTTTTCACTTAACATAATGCCCTTAAGAATCATCCACGCTGGTGTACATATCAATAATTTATTCCTTCTTACTGATGGATTACATTCATTGTATTCCATTGTATAAATATGCCACGGTTTACTTGTTGGAGGACATTTAGGTTGTTTCCAGTTTGGGCCTACGGTAAATAAAGCTGTTATAAACTTTCGTGTTCAGGTTTTTGTGTGACCATGTTTTAATTTCTCCCGGACAAATAACAAGGAGTGCAGTTGATGCATCATTCATGTGATAAGTATGTATTTACTTTTATAAGAAACTACCAAATTGTTTTCAATGAATCTGTACCAGTTTACACTCCCATCAGTAAAGCATGTGAAATCCATTTATGAGACTGATGTTTTAAAATAGAAATATCCCACATGAGATGGCTCGATAACTAAAATGACTGCACAACATCTGACCGCAATCATATTAATGAAGCTCACTGCTCCCATGAAAATGGAGGTTCCAAAGATAACAGAGGGTAGCAGTTATTAAAGAATGTAAAACTATTTATCTTTGTATCTCATAGAGACTCCTCTATCAAACATTATGTCAGTAAATGTGATTTTTTTGAAAGACAAATTTTTATACCATTTTTATTTCTTAAAGACTTAAGTAATTGCCACTTGGAGCTTCTGATCACCATGTGATGATTCACGGCATCTTTAAGATAAATAAAAATCAGTACTTTTAATCAACCTGGAAGCAACTTGATCTGACAAGTAATGATATGGATATGATATCAAGTAAGTTACTTAACCTCTTCAATAATGGGTCAATGAAGAAATGAAAAGGAAAATCAAAAAATTTCTTGAGATAAATGAAAATGGAAATAACATTAAAATTTATGGGATATAGCAAAAGCAATTCTAAGAAGGAAGTTCATAGTGATATAGGCCATCCTCAAGAAACAAGAACAATCTCAAATAAACAATTTAGCTTTACACCTAATGGAACTAGAAGAAGTAAAACAAAGCCCAAAGTTACCAACCTGAGCCAAGCTCTGACCACTTTCTAGGTGTCAGCCAAAAAGAACGTCCCAAGTTAACTTTGTTACCAGCAACTTTATTGCTAGCCAGCGAGCAAGGAGCCCACCGAGGATCATTTCCCAGGCAGTGTCTCCTCAGAAACAAAAGACCACGTGGTATTATAGGGTTAGTTGCTTACATCATAGCATGTTGAGATCTATTTGGGGTGAGCATATGCACTAAGCAGACATGGCTATTCATACATCACATGTACAGAAAATGGCAGGTGAGCCCTGTCTTGAGCAGAGATTTTAACGTTATAATGAGGGTATAATGAGGAAAGTTCACACAAAGAAGCCATCGAAATGTCCTCTGGTCAATTTCAACTGGTCTCCAACTGGTTTCTAGTGGCTTTTCTTATCTTTACCTTCTGGCCCTGAAGGAAACTATCTCAGCCAAGCATCATTAGGAATCGATCAAACAAACAAGCTCAGAAATATTTAGGTAAGCTCCTAGTTCCTAATCCTTCTGTACCAGCTAGGTAGGCTACAAATTCATTCACCTTTATCTCCTTCTTCTACCATTTTCTCTCTCCCCACAACCCTGTCTCTCTCTTCCTTCCATAAAACTGAGTAAAACAAAAATGAAATCCATGGGAAGTCATTTCCTCCTGAAAGAAGATAGAGCAGAACTCCTAGCTTAGAAAGTCCCAGGTGCCAGCCCTTTGTTCTGGGGATGGACAAAAGGTAGAATCAAAAGAGCCTCACCTTCCATAGTAAAACACCTCTGGTCTCTCCTCTTGGGCCTTGCTAATGATGGTCATTTTAATGACAACATCTCTTTTAAAACAAATAAAATGAAGTGAAGCCCAGGGAGCTGAGAGAATGACAGACACAGGTGACTACATTCCAAAGTAAAAATAAAACATATGCAAAAACAATAATAATAGCTGCTACATCTATTGCATTTCTCTAGGTATTAGGTACCAGACTAGCTTCTTCCCATATATAATAGAATCTCTTCTACAAATTTATGAGGATAGTTTTTGTTCACCCAATTTTATAACATAAGAAAATTGAAGCACGGAGATAATAAGAATCTAGTGCAAGAATACTCAGCTTAGATAGTTCTGGCTCCAGAGTTTATGTTATTTCCAGGATTGTAAGCAGCCTCCTGGCCACCAAAACAAAACAAGTATGAACATTTTAAAGGAATGGGTAGCTATCTTTATAAATGATAGCCAAGCAGGCACAGACAGAAAACTAACAGTTACAGAACCCCTGCTATACACAAAGTTTTTCCAATGCCAGTGTCAATGGAAGGATGTAAAAGGTTTTAGCTATGTTCTCCAAAACACACACACACACACACACACACACACACACACACACACACATACACACACAGAAAGAGAGGGAGAGAGAGAGTTTGAGAGAGGCTTCCCACCAGCGTTTCTGCATTATGTGATATGGCAAAATAACATTATCTCAAGCTTACATGAAGTGCTAGCCAGCTCTCCTGGACAAGTCTCTTACCTGCCTCCCACAAACTTCCAACCAGTCTGTTGTTCTCCAACCTCACTTAGACTGAAATTCTGGAGCTATCCTGAATGTATGTATATAACCTACAAATACTAAAAGTGTATATGTCGGATTTATGAAACTTCCATGCAGAAATTATAGAAAATACTGAAGATTTCTGTAAATACCATAGCGCTTACATTCATTTAATGTAATCCTGAAAATTGTGTTCATGGTTTCATTTTAGAGATGGAAAAAGTGAAAGCCCAAAGAACTTAAGTAATTTGCATGATGTTCTATAGCTAATAAATGGTAGAGCTCAAATATTATCCCAGATCCATCTAGCTCCAAAATCCATGCTTTTTCTTTCTTTCTCTGGCTCCTTATTTTAAAAAAAAAATCTACATCATAAAAGTAACATGTATTTATTTCTAGAAAATTTGGGAAAGACCATAAAGAATAAAGAAGAAAATCTTTGATAACACTATAAACCAAAGAGAACTAACACCAATATTTTAGCATTTTCCTTCCAATCATATACTAGTAAGTAAATAGAATATTATCAACTAATTTTTTCTCTTGCTTTATTGCAAACATCAGTCCATTAAAAATCCTACAAAAACATCTTTTTTAATATCTGTATAATATTCAATATGTACGTAATAAATCACCCTTCTTTATTGTTGGACATTTAGGCCATTTCTGATTTGTAACAATTATAAATTATATGGGACTGGAATCTTGAGTACATACAGCTTGGCCTGAATCACCAATGATTTATTTAGGATGCTTTCCAAGTATAAGAATGGGATTTTCCTATTATGTCATGCTGTCTCTTTTCTTAACATTAAGATCCTCCCCTGCCCCAACACACACACACATCCGCACACACCCCGAATCTCTTCTTCCACTTCAGTTTTAAACCACTGAGCAAGTTATTATTATGTGTGTTTAGACCATAGGTTCAGAGAACAAAGTGCAAATTGTTGGAGACTTGAAACCAGAAAATCTGTGTTTACTTCTCACTGACAAGGTGATTGTGGTTCACCTTACCAGAGGTCTTCAGCCAGTGTTTTCATACCTGAAAAAGAGGACACTAAAAAAACTTCCCTCGAAAGGTTAAAGTGAGGATTAAATCAGATAAAGTATATGACTAGGGTTTTGTAAATCATCATGTGTCCTAGCTTTCAGAGGGGAAAGAAAAGGAAACTGGTTTACTACTAATTTACCTCTTTAGTAAATCTAAACCATTTTTCAAAAAAAAAAAAGGTCTTTAAAAAAAGCGTAAACATTCCTTCCATCACTATACGGAAGATTTGGCTTTGGGTAGTGAACACAGAAAGCAATATACAAATGACGTATTATTGAACTGTATACTTGAAACCTATATAATTTTATTAACCAATAAATTTTTTTAAGAGAGCTTTAAAGTCCTAGGAGGAAATAACAGATGAGAAAACAAACATTTGCCAAGTCCACCAAGCAGTCACGTCATCCTGGTGATTTTGAAAGCCTCTACTCACATGTGGAATTAACAAATCTAACTGTCTCCATTCACAGGAGGTCAGAGAACTAGCAAATCAAACCCACCTTGATACAGAGCAGGAGAGTTAGGTGGCCAGAGCCTAGCCCCTCCTCCCCAGGGGCCAGTGCAACATCCTGCTGCACTGTGATTGGCCCCATTTTACTAAGGGACATTTAATGACGAAGGATGCCGTTAAGAGACCAACTAGAAGGGAGAGGAGGAGTAAAGAGGGAAAGCTAGTCTAACTTCTTAGAAAAAAAAAAGTAGTCCAGGCTCATCGGGGCAGAAAAGATTCAGGACAGACAGAAGTGAGACTGTGCTATCAGGTTTGGGAAAAGATAACTAGGCTAAAAAGAAGTGTTCTATGCCAGCATTTTACTACGAAGGAATAAAAGGGGGAGGAAAGGGTTAGTTTGTGGTCCAACCAGAGGTGAGGATTAGAAGTTTCAGGAGTCAACCCAGAAATCCCAGGGGTTCAAATACGATGAAGTTTGAAGAAAAGCACGCGGGCAATGGGAGACGTATAGGAAAGAGTCAGCCATATCTAGAGGAGAAGCATCAGGCAAACGGGAAATCAGGAGCAAATGGGAAAGCTGAGGTCTCCGTAAAGCAGGAGGCAAATGAGAAATGTGATGTGCCCAGAAAAAGCTTCAAAACGTACAGCTGGCAGGAGATCCAGAGACACGGTTAGGAGGACGACCAGTGGGTGGCGATTAGCCACAAGGTCTATGATGTTACTGACTGGGCCAGGAGGAATACAGGTGGGCACCAGGTCCTCAATCATTATGCCAGGGAGGACCCCAGGGTAAGGAATGTACCCTAGGGGACTGCCCTCTCTCTGTTCCAGCTGCTGGGTGGCTGGGACCTTGGCTCTCTTTCCAAAAGCACATAAAGTACGCGTTCAAACTCCACAATCACTCATCTCCCAAACTAAATTTTTAGATTCCTATCCAGCAAGGATTTGGAAGCAATTTAAGCCCCAGGGTCTAGCTGTTATCTGGACTGGGTTTGGGATGAGCTCAGGTGTGGATACTGGATACTATGTTTGTGTATTCTGGGGTTTGTTTTGTTCTTGGTGTTTTGTTTTGAAGTGGAGTCCCTGTTTTGTAAGAAGAATGTTACAAATAGGTAAGGAAAATCTGGGGGAGAAAATGCACCCAAGTATAAATTTCTCAGACTCTTATAATTGGAGTGTCTACAAGAAAGTCAGTGATTCATCTGTTAGGCATCAAAGTGCTGAAAGCCTACAATTAGATAGGCTTTTAGACTTTGCAGAGCTCTTTTGTGTCCTGTAGCTCATTCAGTGTGATACAGGTAATACTACCTACTTTTCTGGAAGAAGAAATTAAAATCAGATTAATTGCCTGGCAGATCTCAGATTCAAAGCCCTTATCTTTCTTAACTTCCAGTCTTTCCACTTTTCTCCATTGCTTCTCATCACCCTCCCCCACCAACATGGCTAGGAGGAAAAAATATATTTAACATTTATTGGAAGCCTAGAATAACCTAGACATATTCAAATACATCTCCTCATTTAAACCTCACCATGAGGACCGGTGGATATTATCCCCACATTACAGATGAGAAAATTAATATTCAAAGAGGCAAATAATAAACACAGCCAGCAAGTAAGAGTGCCAAATTTTGAAATCAGGTAGGTTTTTTACCATAAAGCCCTTTATAGGTGAGTCTTTACAAGTAAAATTTCCATTTACCATGTGATAGGGAGGTCTCTCTAACCCTTAAATGCATTAAGAAATGCATCTCTTTTGCAATAGTCTATAGGAAGTTTTATTTCAATTAGTAATTTTATTCTCACATTATGCATATAATGAACGAGAATAAGGGCTAAATAACTAACCCAAGACCCGAAATTAATATATAACCAAACAGAAATTAAAATCCAGGCTTTTTTCCCCCTTTTTTGTGCCTGTTGTTTTCACAATTTAGTATATAAATTCCTCAAACAATTTCAAAATATAGGATTGAAAACATTGTGTCACTAAGAACCACTCAGTAAATGGTACTAACAATAAAATATGCAAGCGTCTGGCAAACTTGAAAAGTAAGCAAGATTTTGTCTTTTGATATTATCAAAAAAATTCCCCCCAATTCTTATTTCTGCCCAATTTCTCATCTCCCTTCTCTAACCAGGTTCTTTTTCTACCATCTTCCCGTCTTGACCCTGCAGTCAGACGATTGCCTTTCTGAACATACCCTGCTACATCCCCACCACTTCTGTCAGATCTGATACTATTTTCTAAAGAGTTCGTACTTTTGTGGGGATGAGCATGTGTGGCAAGGGACGGGAGTATCCTGTGTGTCTGGAGGACAGATGGATGCTATGTAGGAATCCAGAGAGCAGCGGGTAAAAGAATCAAGGTGGAAAGCATGCATGCAAGAATAACAGGAGAAAGGTTAACAAAAATAAAATGAAAAAAAAAACCAAACAAACCCATAGATCTCTATCTAGCCATCTCCTCATTCTCACAACTCAGAAAAAATATGGATGATGCTTTGCTAACACAAGTCAGAATTAGCTCAGAGGATGTGTCAGCAAAGACATGAGTCTCAGCCTCCTTGAAAATCATGGACAGACTCACTCGACTTGAGACAGCTCAGGTAATAAATCTGTAATTTTCTGATCATTTTTACTTTCCAGAAGTTAGGGAAAAAACATGACTTTGCATGTAATTCTAGCCAACAAGGAGAAACAGGTTAATGAAATAGAAACCATCAGAAGCCTAGGGGATACAATAAGCATGCTATCTGAAAATTTATATCTTGAGAATGAAAATCCTGAGTATGCTTAGTCATGTCCCTTAGACTTTAAGGAAGTCCAAAAATGTTTAGAAAAAACATTCTCCAAAGGAAAATGGCTCAAGAAGCCTGGAAGGGTGCCAGGAGAATTCTGACAACCACAATACTCCATGGCTACTCAGACAGAGTACAGGGAGCCCGGGCCATCTGATTGGTAAAAAAGAGTACATGGTAAAAGAGGGTTCTGCTCTCCAGGGAAGGAGAGCAGAACAGTATGTAAAGAAGAACAAGTTTCCTGCTCTGGGCAGGTGCAGCCATGGCTCCAGGGCTGGCACACAGAGACCAGAACAGAAGGTCAGAACATGAGAGATCCGGAGGGTATTCAGGCTCATAAAGACACAGACGTCTTAAGTTGTAGAGTGAACATTTAGCCTCAGATTCTCTGTCTTTATGTTTTGCCCTCCTTCCCTGGAGAGCATGATGCCCTTTACCGTGTACCCTCAGTTCCCAATTAAGTAATTTCCCCAATATAAAACAGCCTACTCCTCTGCTGCCCTACACTGTGCTTTAGCGTGAATGAGGAAGGCACATGCTTTGGGTGGCTACAGCACCAAGATTTGGCAAACAAAGTGCCTGCTGGAGTTCAATCCATACACGTCCCTCTGGCTGGGCGCCTGCGTGCAGGGCACAACCTGGACACGGTATTTAAGTTGTAAAGGCAGGATTTTGTTTCAGGCCTTCTGAGTTTGCATTCTTCTCCACGAGGGACCATCCAGCTTTTACAGTAAAGCACTTCTCTTCATCCTCCATTAAATTACAGCAAAAGAGTGGCAGGATTTTCAAAGCTATTTGTGAAAGCAAATTAACAATCACATCTTTCCCGTGTTGGTATTGTTTTGGAAATAACCAGGTTTGAGATAAGCTATGATACAAACTTACAAACAGGTTAGAGAGTAGAGATGACGGTTCAGAAGGAAATCAAAAGGCTAACAGGCGAAAATGAGAGATGCTCAGGCAGCAAAAAGGTCAGAACATGAGAGATGCTGAGGGTATCTCTTAAGACCTGTATCCTCTGAGCTTAACACTTTGATGATCCCAACTTTCTCCCTGTTAGAAAAACCCTATATGCATCTATTTGTTCACCCTTTTCCTTATTCAGATCACGTGCCATGTTCCAGGCATAGCGATAAACAGTATTCTTAATTTCATCAACAGTACATTGTCCCAGTCTTCAAGAAATTCAAAAACCATTGGAGAAGGGATGAATACACAGATTCCTTCCAACATAATTTGAAAATTTCTGGGAACAAAGTGTCATGGGAGCCCAAAGGAGATCATGAATAATTTTCCTGAGTGCGTTAGGGGAGGCAATGTTTCATCTGGATCTTGAAGGGCGAAGAGGGACTTCTGTGTAGAGAAAATGTAGGAAAACATTATATGCAAAGGGGACAGTTTGTGCAAAGCTTCAGAACCACAGAGGGGATGCTGCTTATTGAATGGGGAGAGATCCAGGGGACAACATTCTGAAAGAAGTGTATGGTGAAATGTGAGCCTGGAGAGGTTAGGTCGAAGCCAGAGGCAAAGTGACTCATGTGATTAAATCTAAAGTGGAGAGACACCGTTACTATCCGTTCAATACACTGATTTAGCAGCATCCCCAAACAGTCTGGTGTTGCTCTTCTCTTAAGAGGCCTTTCAAAAAGAGAATTGGCTAGAATGGATCTTCCCAGCGACATGCCTTTATAATCCAGAGCCCTGAGTTCCAATCCTGGCTTCACCAGTCACTGTGGCCTTTGAGGCAAGACGTTGCTTCTTTCCAAGAGTTGGTGTTTTTACCTTTACAGCAGCAGCAGTGGAACCTCACAGAACTAAGGGGATGATTATGAATTGGCCTGTAGGGCACCTTATACATGGGATACACTTGATCAGTGTTGCCCGTATCTATTCTCCCCTTTATTTTATCCCCTTCAGCAGACGCATACTCATCTAAGAATGGTGATAACAGAACCTGTTTTTGCAGATCTATCAAGATGGGGATTTCACAACTTATTCAGTATTCAGTCTCCAACAGGAAATTCTTTTAAATCAAATATTCTAAGACTACCTAAACTTCTTTGTTGAACTGCCCATCAGTATAATGAAAAGAGTTCCAGAGAGCAGGGCAATGCTATTCTGGAAGACTCTGTGAGTCTTCAGTATCTATTATCACAGTATCAATCTGTGAACCTGGCTGGGGATCAGAAGAAACAATTACCTCAGAAGAATGTTATTGTCAGCACACTGTTCCAGGACTCCTGATGACTGCTCAGAGTGAAATTAAATTGCAAAAGTTTACCTTTCCTTTACACTCTGATCTTGATCCACCATAACCTTTTTCATCTTAATCTGCTCCAAAACAACAAGCAGAATGTTATTTTTTAGCATGGATCATCCTGACATACTTTAATCACTTCCTTGTTAACTGAATGACTCTTCCTTGTTAGGGGAACTATGTTTTAGAATCATGGAATGTGATAGCTAAAAAACATCTTTGAAATCATATAGTTCAGAATTTTCCAACGCAGTCAGAGGAGGTATGCAGAAGCAGAATGGACAGTAGAGCCTGGACTGGGTCTAGCAGATACAAAGCCTTTTTTACATCATCGAATCTAGGTGAAGAAGTCTAAAGAGTTGATATTGCATCCTTTCAACTAACTTTATTCATTACATAAGCATCTTCTCTTTTTATTAAACTTACGGAGGTGACTTTGGTTAATAAGATTATATAGGTTTCAAGTATTGTATATTGCATTGTGTGTTCACCACACAAAGTCGAATCTCCTTCCCTCACCATCTTTTGACCCTTATCTACCTCCCCCTCTCCTCCCTTTCCCTCTGGTAACCACTAAATGTATTTGTATAAGCACCTTCTTATACGCAGGCTCATAGGCAGTTCTCGGATAGATCTAAAATTGTTTTATGATTTGATGGGGATTGCATTAATCCGTATAATGCTTTAGGTAATAGGTCATTTTAACTGTTGATTGCATTAAATCCGTATAATGC